TTGCTGTAATGAGGACCCCAGGGAATGAATATTTCTGATATCAATCATTTGGGAAGAGGTGAAATCCTGGAGCAGGAAATGCAAATTGACCTTGAATCAGAAAAGGAAGGACTTCTGCCACTCACCACCCACTCCCTGCGTGCTGCCATATCGAAGCTAAGAAGACATGAGTTTGGAGGTGTGGAAAAACCTAGAGATTTCTTGTGACTAACTAGTTATGTGCCATGAGAAGATGCCTGTCCTTCTTTGCTGTTGTCATCAACAGCAGTGCMATCAAGACATACAGAACATCCTCCAAAATATGCTACCTTGGTATAATGATTATTTTGAGCTGAAGGCAATTGAGAACTAGCAAATGCAGGGAGGGTTCTCCGCCCTCCCCATTTCTTCCTAAAAGCAGGGCACACTTTTCTCATGAAAGGGGTGTTTTYCCTGTGTCAAGAAGGAGAGAACATTCTTATCACTGGAGATAAGGAGTCAAAACAGACCTTTCTAAACCTTATCTTTCATTAGTTTCTCCCATTTATTTTCATGGTCATTTCCCCACAACTTACTGATCCTAGCCCAAACTACTTTTCTTGGTGTCATCATGTGTCCAAAACATATATTTCTCTTTGTTAAAATGACATATAGGCCCCTGGGTCTAATTGCTTCCAGGGCATTTTTCCTTCCTTCTATCAAGTTCCCTGTGCCATATAAAAACATCAACATTATATACAATTTTTACTGTTAGTCAGGAATCAGTTCGAATCACAGCCCCTAGCCAGAGACCCTAAGAGGGTAGAGGAAAAGTATCTCCTTTCCTACAAAATTAAGTAGGACATAAGAGAACCACGTCCCCCTCTGTGAGAGGGGCATCAGAACCCCTTGCTCTGTCCAGCCTGGTGATCTTCCAAGTGCTGTCTCAACGGCAAAGACAGCAGCATGGCAGCATGAGAAGAAAGCAGATCAGAGGAACCACTGGCTCTGTTCCAAAGTGCCCCAGAGGTAGGACCCCAGGTAACCCTCAGAGAAAATGGGAATGAGGTTGAACAGGGCTTTACTTTGGGCATTTATGGCTCTTAACCTGAATCTTAATACTGTGTAAAATTTTAGATGAGTATTGGGAAACAATGATAAGGAGTAAAGTTGTCCATAAACTATATTACAATATTCAGGTAGAAATTCAGATATGAGTAGGCGTAACCACCTGGAGGTGAGGGGTGCATTGGGGGAGGAAGCAAGCTTGGGCCAAAAGCAGAACCAAAACTAAATGTACTGAGAGGGGGAAGGTAAGTCAATTTAACCTCAGCTGGTAACTATATGATACAATAGAAATTGCATGTCTAGTTTTTTGGTAAATTTTCTTCATTAAGTCATATTTTGGTTTGTACATCTTCAAAGAAAGTCAATAAACCTTGGGATTATCACCAGGAAAGGGCTTAAAGGACCAAACAAGATATCCTACAACCCCAAGTCACTCCCAGATTATAATCACATGGAAATAGGGAAGAGGTTACACAGGCCTCACTAGACATAAAATTGGGCATTTCCATGGGGAGGGACAGCTGATCACATGGTGACCACAAGGGATGAGCTATATGAAAACCTGGCGGAATAAAAGAACAACCATAAAAGGAATGATTTTGTATTTGTATGTCAATCTATGTTACCATCTATTGTAAAGACACTTGAACTTTATGAAAATTTCTAGAGTCTGCAGAGTTGTTGTTTCTCTATTGATAAGGCAGCTAGAAATAAGAATTTTTATTTAAATTTCTGGTGTCTTTTCTCATCATGTCCTCTCCTTCAACATTATCTTTGCAAAAGCTGGTTCTTAGTGAGGGTGATGGCCACTCCATACCTTCTTTGCACTCTGAGCAAATTGGGATCATAGAGATTATGCTAAATTTACTCTATTTGTTTACCAACAAGGGATAAGACCACATGGAGGAAGAAATAGAGCAGATTGTTAGCAAAAAGCAAGTATAACTCCTTATATTGATTCAAGCCAACAACACCTAAATAAGAAAATTGKAAATCATAATTGTGAAATATGGCAGTGGAATTTCAAATGTAGAAGAACCTTGTAGATGAGCTAATCTGATTCCTTCATGTTATAGATGATAAAATTGAGACATTAAGTGACTGTCTCAATGACACGCACAACCAGTTACTGGCAAAACTTGGTTTAGTGCTCAAGAGAGTTTATTTCTTGGGGGATTTAAAAAATGCCCAGATAAACAGACTGGTAGGAATTATAAAGTGTGAATTTGTGACATAGTTGGAGAAACTAGACATTTTTAATGTAGAAAAGAGAAAAATTGGGGCTATGACTATAGCTCAGTGGCAGAACAATTGCCTATACGGTGGCAGGCACTGGGCTCAATCCTTAGGACCACATAAAAATAAACAAATAAAATAAAGGCATGCTGTCCATCTACAACCACAAAATGTTTTTAAAAAAATTAAAGGGAAAATTAGGAACATAATTATTCTCAAATCTCAGAGGATTAGCGGATAGGAAAGCAATCAAATTGACTGTCAGAAAGAGCAAGGAACGTTGTTCAACATTAGAAGGAAGATTTGAACAGTTCAATATATGATAAAACCTCTTAAACAGTCAAAATTGGCCAGAACAATTGTTGGGGAATAATAAGTTTTCTGTCACTGAGACATTTCAGAATAGACTGGAAAATAACGTAGTATGTTTTTGTCTATAGGGAAGAGTGGGATAAGGGGTGCCGTGGAGGGGAGAATTCAGGCATGAAAATCATTTGGAGGGGTGACCTTTAGGAGGATGTGATTCTTTACAACCTGGGACCAAATAAGGGTTTCATTCTTGCCTCTGAACTCTAAAACCTATCTTCCTATCTGTTTGCAATAGTTTAAATTTTAATCTATTTCATATTTCAGGGTATTATGCCCTGAATATTTGATTTGAATGCTGTGGCAGAAGGTCACTCATATTCATTTATTTTCTTTTACTCTTATACACTTGCAGTGAGTCTTTTGAATCCATTATGCAAACACATGCAAATCATATGCAAATGATGTGGCCTCAGAAAATGACAAAATCTAATGGTAGTAACCAAACCATCAAACCTTTCTTTAAGAAGGAAAGTAATATGGCTTTTTCAATGTCTCTGGGGTAGGAGACAATTTCCTGAGAGTAATATTTACATGACATTGGAACAGGAGACTCAGAAGAGCCTTTGCTTCACATGCTTCGTGTTTACGTGGGGTTTTAAGGTTAAAAAAGCGTCTTCTTATATATGGTCCTATTGGATTTTCATAATTATCCTGTGATGGAAGCAGAACAAGAATTACAATTCTTATTTTCACAATGGGGAAACGGCCTTAGAGAAGTAAAATGACTTGCCAGAGGCCACTCAGTAAAGGATGGATCTGAGGCTTAGAACTAGGCCCTTTCCTGTCCTCAGCTCTCCCCACACACCGTGATAGCTACCCTTCTGCATCTGCCACTGTGTTTTGCCAACAGCTTCTGCAGAGGTGCTCTTATTGATGAGGATGGCAAGGTAAGGGCGACCACAAAAGCCTAATTACTTATAATAGCCCCAGCAAAGTGTCACTGTGCAGCTTCTACATCTCCCTCTACTTTTTAGCATCGACTTTAAAATCTTCAGATGAAGAATCTTCTTCACCCCACCTTCTTTTCAGCTGCTTGAGAAGACAAACGTTTTTCATATACTGTGGAGAAAGAAATGCAGTCTCTGCAGATAAACCATCTGGATTGGAAAACCTACTCTACCTACATAGAGTTGTGTCGTATCCTAGAAGTCATTTAAGTTCTCTGAGCATCATTTTCTACAACCATAAAGCAAGGAAAATTACAGCACTCTTATAGCACACATAGAATAATTCTAGTATATAAAAATGTACCCAAAACTAAAGATAAAGGCTGGCCTGGTATCTAACAATAGCTCGATAAAAGGTAACTACTATAATCACTTTTTTAATGTTAGTAAGACAATGCAGTAGCAGTAATATCTCCAGTCACTACAAACTCTGAAGCTAAGAACTGGATTTCTGGAAATGCAATGGGAAAACAGTAACACCAAATATCTCCTATATGCCAGACAGGTGGAGAACAGAAAAGGTCTAAGGTAGCTAAAGTCAGTACATTGAGAAAATGCTTGAACTTTGGCTTCTTCTCATCACCACAACATCTTGCACCATAATGAGAGTAATTACACTGGTGCTTCCAAGCTATTTCTAAGGAGAAATTGAGCCAAGACTGACATCCTTAGCTCTGCTCCCCCTTGGCCTGACTACTTTGTTTGTAGCAGCTGCTGTTTAACCTGGGCCAGCTGGGAGGGAACAAGAGGGGAATCCTCCCAAGCTGCTCTGACAGGTCTGTGTCACCAGGTCAAGCCAAAAGGTGGAGAAATCCTCCACCTGTAAAAGATCAGAGGTGGGGTTGGACGAGATGGGCCAAGCAGCTTCTGAAACTCAAGAAGTAGGTATACTCATGAATCTGTCACCTCCTGTACCAGTTCACAGCTCCTTGGTCCTCCCACAGGGTGCTTTGCCCTGCCAGGTTGCCTCCCACCTCTCCTAGTCACTCATTCGACAGCTAGCAAAGTGACCTCCTGTGTGACTACAGAATCCTGTGTCCACAGCCTCTCTAATGGAGAAGGACAGTTGGAGTTGACCAAACCCTGGCAGCTGGCTTAAAGTCAGTGGGAGCTACCTCACAGAGGGCTGCACAACTGATATCATGTTTGCCAGGAAATGCAAAGCCTCATCCTAGGGCTGGGTTCTCAGTTATTTTTAGCAAAGATGGTGGGTATGCAAAAGGAACTTCCTTTTTTTTTTTTTTTTTTTTTCTTAACCCAGAGGCACTGAATGCTGAGCAGTCGATAGAAATTCTGGTTCCAAGATCACCCTTCTGGGTACCTCTCTAACTGCCAAATGACTGCGATCTTTATAGCTTGATTCAGTTTCTCAGCTCCAAATATTAGGTAATCTCACAAAGCTGGGGCTGCCCTGGACCTGTGATGGCTTCCCTTGTCATCTGCTGCTTTTTGGTGGTGCTGTTTTCAGCCTGCCATGAAGTCAGCTCCACCTCGGATCAGCTGTGCATTGAGGTGAGTCCAAACTGTTTGTCTTTATTCAGATTAAACTTTCTAAAAATTTCAAGATTCTGCATGTGATCCCTTGGCATTTCAATATGCACTGACTCCAAAAGACCAATGGATCTATAGAAGTTTGTCTTTATTATGAGAAAGGAGCCGAAGAACTCAGCTAGGGGATGGTCTGGGAGCATCTTTCGGGGAAGAAGTGAGAATTTCCCTCTTCCTCTAGCAATTCCTCCCACATGATCCCACTTGAGACATGAGATAGGAACAGGGCCCTGACACTACAGCAGCCCTGATGAAACTTGCCTCTTTACCTGGGGGAGCTGTTGTCCAACATCCCAGCACTTGGCCAACAGTCCAGACAGTTCTTTGGTTTCCTGGCTGTCAGGATGAGGATTAGTAAAGACAGGCTCTTGCCAGGTTTCAGAGCATTTAAAAGATCATTCTGAATCAGTCTGGCTTTCTCCTCAGGTTGGATAGCCCTCCATCTGTTTGACTAACCCACAGGAGTCAAATCTCAGAATAGAGCCAAATTGCACCTTCTGTTTTGGACCATAGCACTATTTATCAACCTGTAGGTAGTTCTTGAAGGGAGTGGTAAGGGAGAGAGAGGGAATGAGCCTCCATCTCTTGCCATCTTCTAAAGGGCTTCAAGTGTCGTTCCCAGGCTCTCTGGCCCTGGCAAGCATCCAACACCACGTGGGCTGCTGGACAGGGGCTGCAGACAGGAGTGGACATTGATGGTGGTGGGTTGGTAAGCTGCCTTCCTAAATTGGGTCTGAAAGAAGAGTAAGAGCCAGGAGTGGCAAAGTGTAGGATGACCCTGAGGCAGACACTGGGGACATTAGGAGCAGGATGAGTAAGTGGGGCAAAGCCCTGCCAGACAAGGACAGAAACCAAAGCCAGGCCTGGAACAAAGCCTGGGACAGAAATTAAGAAAGAAAGAAAGAGAGAAAGAAAGAAAGAAAGGAAGAAAGGAAGGAAGGAAGGAAGGAAGGAAGGAAGGAAGGAAGGAAGGAAGGAAGGAAGGAAGACAGGGAAAGGAAGGAAGAAAGAGGGAGGAAGGAAGGAAGACAAACTTGTTAGCCTGGTGTTTGGATGGAATTGGGTACTCTCAGACCAAGAGGAGGTGGAGTGCCCAGGGGAAATTAAGGCTGGGACAGTATATTATTTTGCTCAGGCTCCCATAACCAAGTGTCACAGACTTAGAGGTTTAAACTATTCTCTCATAGTTCTGGAGCCTGGAAGTGTGAGATCAAGTTCCTGGTGGGGTTTGTTTCTCTTTAGGCCTCTCTTCTTGCATGTAGCTGGCCATCTTCTCCCTGGGTCTTTGCACAGTCTTCTTACTGGGCATGGCCGTGTCCTGATTTCCTCTTATTATAAGAACACTATCGTACTGAATGAGGGCCAGCCTAGTGACCTTATTTTAGGCCCTATTTCCAAATACAGTCACTTGATGAAGTACTAGGGTTAGGATTGCACCATATGATTTTATACGGGAGACAAGCTGTGGGTGAGGGGGTGACATAATTCAGTTCAGAACAGAAGGGCAAAACCTGAGGAATCTGTCTCCTTATCATTGGTGTTGGAAGGTCAATTTCTTTTTCCCCCCCCATTTTTAATTTTATCCCCACATTATAATTTTTTAAAATATTTATTTTTTAGGACACGATATTTTTATGTGGTGCTGAGGATGGAACCAGGGCCCCGCCGGTGCCAGGCGAGCACTCTACTGCTGAGCCACAAGTTCTCTCCCCAGCACTTCCCTCCTTCCTCCCCACCTCCCACTCCTTGGTTCCTTCCCTCTACTGGCCTCCCTTTGATTTTCATGAGATCGGCCCCCATCTTTCTTTTCCTCTTTTTTTTCCCTAGCTTCCACAGCATATGAAAGAGAACATACATTCCCTTGAAGGAAGGTTAATTTCATACAGAAGTGAGTGGCACTATAATGGCATAGGAGTGGGGACATGGCCTCCTCAGTCATCAGAGACATATGCCATTCATCTCCTGCAACACCCTCAGATGGGATAATATGGCATTAAATTCTAGCTTATTCAGGAGCAGGCTATTTTAAATGCCCCGCTATTACACCTACCAGTTCATGTCTCAAAACCCTATATCCTTACAAAGCTAATCTGCCCTTCTGAAGGCCACAAGGAGCCCAAGGAAGGGCAGCACTGCTGAGAGATTTGCAAAACACATAGAAATACTGTGCTGGTTGAACTGCATATTGAGAACATCAGGCCCTAGAGTTGCCAGTTCTTTTAAATGACTCCCACTGTAGCAGAGAGGAGGGGAAAGCAACACGGAGAGGACCTCAGTCCTTTGGTCATCTGTTCTGGGGCCTTCTGTACTATGAAGGTCATAAAAGTGGTCTAGGTCCCAGAGCCTGGACGTGTGTTGAATAAAACAGGCAAGACTGAAATCTTCCAATGCAGCAGACTTCCTGTATTACTTTCTCTAAAAAGACTCTGATTTTAAATGTTTTGTGTCCAGTAACACTGGATCTATATATCCTTTTACTTTTCTCTCTTGTGTGAGGGCTTTGCACACACTAGGCAAGATCTCTACCACGGAGCTACCTTCCCAGCCCTACCTAGGAGCAGATTCTAAAGCTGATTTTCCCACAGTGATAACGTAAGAGCCCTTACCACTGTGGGAAACTACAGAGGGACTTGGGAGAGACAAAGATAAATGGGATTTCCAGGCTGCAGGTGAGATGAAAGGAGTGGTTAGGAGAAGAAATGTGTGCCTTTGATGTAAGGGTCTGGCCCCTTCCCAAGTTCAAATCACCCTAACTTTAGCCACATTCCTTCCCTTGTTCTCTGTTCTCCCTTTCTTCTTCCCCTTCAGTTCAAGCAGAATTGACCACGTACTGTGTGTTCATGAGACTGACCCCCAGTAACTTCTCTAACTTATCCTGAAAATTAGGTTTTGGTTTTGTTTCACTTTGAGTTTAGCCATCTTTTTGTTGAAACAAAATACGAGCCCTAAGTGTGAGGTTAAATGCATTTTCACCAAGTGAATATATTCATATAACCAGCACATAGATGAGAACACAGAACATGCTCAGTACATGGAAGCCTTCCTCATGCCTCCTCCCTGTCACTAATCCCCAAAGGCATCCAGTCCTCTAACTTCTATCGTCATCATTCTTTTTGCCTGGATTTGAGCTTATAAATGTGGAAGCCCATGGTGTRCAGTTTTTTTGTCTGTCTGCCTTCTTTTGCTCAACGTTAAATCCTTGGTGGTGTGTGCAGCAGTCATTCGTTCAAGCTCATCACTGAACCACACTGTTTGATCAGTGAGCTGCCATTTATTAATGCCTTCTACTGTTAATGGATATTGGCATTGTTTGTAGTTTTTTGACTGTCATGAATGATGCTATTTTGGATGTTCTTGTCTTTAATTAACAAAGGTATGAATATTTATTAAGTGTGTGCCTTAGAATGGATGTATTTGGTCATAGGGTAATCATAATTTTAACTTTGATATTTCAAATGGTTTCCTAAAATGTTGGTACCAATTTATACTTATTGGAAAAGTGTATGAATTCTGATTGCTCCACAGATTCACTAGCATTTTATTTTTAAAATTTTTTTAAAGAGAGAGACAATTTTTAATATTTATTTATTTATTTTAGTTTTTGATGAACACAACATCTTTATTTTTATGTGGTGCTGAGGATCGAACCCAGCACCCTKCGTGTACCAGGCGAACACGTTACCGCTTAAGCCACATCCCCAGCCCTCACTAGCATTTTATATTGTTTGTTTTTAAGTGTTGGCCCTTGTGATGGGAAGGTAGTAGTATTTCCCTAAGATTTAATTTTTGCTTTCTTTCTTTCTTTCTTTCTTTCTTTCTTTCTTTCTTTCTTTCTTTCCTTTTGTGGTGCTGGAGATTAAACCCTATTTTTTGTTTTCTTGAAGAATAATTAATTTGAGCACATATTCATACTTTGGCTAATCATTACATTACATGTGTGTATGTTTTGTCTGGGATCAGACCTAGGGCTTTGTGCATACTAGGCAAGAGCTCTATCACTGGGCTACATTCTCAGCCCTGCATAATCCCTTTTATGTGTGGGAGGTGCCTGTTCAAGTCTCTTGCCCATTTTCTCATAGGCTGTCTTGATTTGTAGATATTGTTTATGTTTTGTGAATAAAAATCCCATATGAGAATGCAAATTTATCTTCTCCTACTCTGTGACTTACCTTTCTACTCCCCTTAATGGTATCTTTTGCTAAATAGAAGTTCTTAATTTTATTATAGCTCAAAGTATCATTTTTCCTTTAGTTTTCCTGTGCGTCCATGTTTAAGAAATTTTGGTTATCCCAAGACTATGATGATATTATCCAGTGATTTTGTCTAGGAATTTGTTTCATATTTATTTCCACTTCTATATTTCATGCATGCTAGGTGGCAGTTGGGAATAATTTTTAATAAAACTTTTTGATTAAAAGGAGTTTAAACTGGACTGGGGTTGTGGCTCAGCAGTAAGGCGCTTACCTAGCACATGTGAGGCACTGGGTTCAATCCTCAACACCACATAAAAGTAAATAAGTAAAATAAAGGTATTGTGTCCAACTACAACTAACATATTTGTAGTTGGACACAATACCTTTATTTTATTTATATATATGGGAGTTCAAACCTACCAACAGATTTGAGAGATATTACAATGAACACTCGCAAACCTTTCAAGCAGATTCTTCCATTGTTAGATGCTATATATTTTCTCTGTGTGTGTGTGAATGTGAAATATATGTATATAGAGAGGTAAGTAACAAAATTATAGCCATGACCAAGCCTTCAGAGGATGACAAATATGAAGAGTAGCAGGAATCCAGTGTTCAGTGATTTGGATTTTGATCATGGGAACATTTTACATTCAACTTAGAATAGTTACTTGAAGAGGGCAGGCAGGCCTCCCCATTTCAAATGAGCTCATCTTAACCATTCTCTTCCCCAAAAAATCACAGTAGGAGAGTGTCCTTCAGTCCTAGGTA